TATTTCAATATCCGATGCTCTGGGCACAGGGGCCACTCTGTCAAAATACCATATTTCTAGTAGGGGGAGGTCCCCAGGCACGAAACGGAAAAGCATACAAACAAGAATGAAAAAAAAGGAAAACATCCAAGCCTTTTAAAGTCGGTAACCCGCAAGCTCTAAGCGCGAAGACCTGGAACTTCGTAGAGACCCCACACCTTTCCCTGGATTTCACCTCTGAAGAGCTGCAGGTTTCCTCGAGTTAGCTTATGATTAGCGTTTGCGGTTTGAGGAGCCGGTGTTGGGTTTCGATATAGGATAGATAGATATGTATATATATATATATGTCTATATAAGGGCTTGGTGTGGGTGTGGGGCTTCAGTCCAAGACACGAAATTCTAATAGAACTCAAACCCCAGACTAGGTATTTGCCATTAAAACATATACTTGGATCTCTCGGGGGTCAGTATAAACAAAACTGATGTGCACGGGGGCGGCCAGGAGATCATATGCTGCTTCGAGGGCGATGTGCAGCTTCGTGCGGTTAGTCGTATTGAGGGCATGACTAGCCCGATGCCTTCACCGATGTTTTCACGCAATGACCCCGCAACTAAGTTGTAAGACACACTCTGCATGCCGTGAGGATTTCCTTTCCTCGATCATTAGTCGTGAATTGGAGGTCACAGTTTGGAGCTTGGTCCCTTCAAAACTTTCACGCTCGCCAATGAAGCCTCTCAGTTCTGTCATATCCCTGATCCCTTTCAGCCCTCTCGTTTCACCTATCGTTGCTGGTCTCCCTTTTGTCAGCATCTCCTGCTGTGCTCATGAAGCAAGATTGCTCTTCCTGGCATGGTCATACTTGTGATGTTGCCAGTACGGGTATCAAAAACCGCTGCGACTGTGGCTGCTTGTATTGTTAGTGTCATCACCCTGGGTGTTGAACATCCAGCCTTTCCACGCCCCCACGCCCTAAGCCAGAAGGTCCTCGAAAAAAATTCTGAATTTAGAGATGAAAACATCTTAGCCTCAAGTTCAGTTCCCAAGGCAGTGCCACATTCCTGGTGGCAGCCTCGGCGACGGATCCTCGGCCGCCCATGAGCTACGGCAAGCGATTGTTCTTTCAGATCTGGAGCCTTCTTGTTTTAGTGGGCTGCAGGGCGGAGTCCGGGCACCCCACCATGCAACGCCAAGATTAGCAACGCGACCACTGAGGCCATTCGAGCAAGGTGAAGCGGATGTTTGAGGCGCAGATGTCTGCCAATGCGAATGTCGGGTGAAGTTGCAGCATCAGTGAGGTCCGATATCAGCGTCAGTGAGAGCACATCCGACGACGTATAGATCACTTTTCACCCTTTAGCGAGTGTGTTGCGGTACCTTTCTTTAGGCCGCAGATTTGCCGCTGGACTCACGCTGCCTTGCCCGGCAAGAGTCTATTCGCCCAGCATCCTGGCCGCATCTCATTTTCGAGCAGGGGACGGGGGAAGGCTTCTTAAAGCATCAAGACGCCCATCCTGCTGGGGGAGTTGAGGAATGACAGCATTGTGCAGTTCGTGAGCTGGCATGCCATGTTTTGTACACCAGGATGAAACTGGAAGCGGATCTCACCTGATGCGAATCGGATTGAGAGCTCATCACAGATGCGCGACGAGGCATACTTCCAGTTTGTCTTGGACCACAAGAAACAGCTGCTTGTCTCTGCGGTATCACCTGGTACCGTGAGCATTCCCACTTGGCTCCGCCTGGTTAGGGTCTCTGTCGCCGTCGGCACGAGCATGATGTCGCCTGCCTCTCGACAGAGAGTGCAGGAGCTGGAGCGGCGATGTTCTCCTGCACTCTGTGTTTCTGCTGTGTCTGTGACGCTTGGCAGAGTTAGTGTAACCAAGTATTGACGGCGTGAGGCTTGCAGATGCCAACGAGTTCTTCAAGTCTGAACGACATATGCAGCTGCTGAACAGGCTGGACAATCACACGTGCTGCCTTGATCCTACTCTCCAATCGTAAAAACGGAGCGCATGAGTCCCATGTAGCTCTAAAGTTCTACTCGTCATCTCACTTTTTTCTAGCAAGCAGCTACACGTTCGGGCATCGAGAGCACAGATGGTGGCTTGTGGCTGAGGCTTCCGGCTCAGAGATGTTATGAAACTGTGTTAGGAAGAGAATAGGTTTGGCTTTTCCAGATCGATGGTGAAACTTAATTCCTTGTTTGACTTTCAAGGCTGCTCTCTTCTAATTGCTTGTCCTGTCGTGGAAGATGGACATGCGTTTTGTGCTACCTATACATGGCTTATGTGTGAAAGGAGGTTGTACTCATCAATTAGTAAACAGGAATCCTCATCATCGGCGAAGTTTCACAAAGATTAAACCCGTCCCGACAGGACTGCTTTCTACATCCCTCTTGCAGAAGTCAGGGACCGAGCGTGCCCCAACTTTTTCGAGACCAAGACGGCCGCTTGGTTTCGTCCGCATAAGCCCTTGTTCATAAAGTTTCAAGCCGAGCTTCTGCTTGGGACCGCACTAGTTGCCTGCATCGCATCTTGCTAGCAGGTTTTTTGTTGAGCTGAGGTTGTCGGGGCAGCGGCTTATCAGCAGTAGCGCATCAGAGCACCGCACAAGAATCTCGGAGCAGGGAGCTGCGTCCTGCCCGTTAAGACAGTTCAAGAAGCCCAAGCCGGAGTGCCTTCTTCACATGCGCAGGTCTACTCGAAGAGCTTCGGTCACTCCGACGATGACTTCTGCCCATTGTAACCTAACCATGACGGCACGGCGACTTTCAACTTCCCGACGGAGCCTATTGGAGAAGCCTGAACTTCTTGAGCGTCTCGGATTGGCAGATCGTTCGCCTCGGCAGAGGAGGAAGGCACGGCACGCTTTCACGATCCTGGAGCTTGCTTGGAATCGAAGCAGAAGATCCCATTCTGGACCAGCTTGTCGTCTCGGCCCTAGTCGGAGGCCGGGCCAGAAGAAAGACTTGTGGCTCTTCTTCCGCCATGGCTGCGGCTCTCCCGCCCTGATATCCTGCTTGGGCCACTGGAGTTGAACCTAGGTGCGCGGGCCAGGTTACCTCCGTGATGGTTTCTGTCACATGGTGCCGGCTGCGCGTGCTGCTGTGGGACCGTGGAGATTCTTCTGCACTGTATATTCCAATGATCTTGCAGGAACATGGCTGCCGATGCCGCAACTCCCAACCTCCGAGCACCGTGAATTCCGCTCAAGGCCCCAACACTTCTTGCTCGCCTTTGGAGCCCTCGAGCAATGCTAAAGTTCCATACCGTCCATACCCTCAAGCCGGGAAGCCTCAAATCATGCCAACCTACAGACTTTGCCCAGCTGCCTACACTCCCGCAACCCCAAAACTGAAACGCGAAAACCCGAAGCTGAAAGCCCGAAGCCAACTCTGTCAAGCCCTTAATCACCCCAAAAGATGGGCCCTGAGCAGCGGCCCAAAGTTCATTTTGCACCTCGCGTTGGATCGAAGCCAGCGAGACCCGAAGCGCAAAAAGCAGCGACGACTGCAAGGGGGAGACAACAAGACTAACAAGATACAACACTAGTGAGCAACAGCAACGGCAATGATCCGGGTAGTCGGCTTTGTAATTGTTACCATCCGAAAAGAAGGCAATAGTTAAACCAATTGGTCACCTTTTGTATGACGATAGCACTGGCTGGGACCTTGCGTGTAGTTCCCCAAGTTTTTTTTTTATCTTAGAGGCCTCAAGGCGCCCATTTTTTGTTGCTTGCTCGGTGGCGTTTAGCGGTTTCGGATCGCGGATAAGCCGCAACTACGCAGTTAAACCCCAAGAAAATCGAAGCCCACTTCAGGTCTCAAACACCTCTACTTTCGGCACAGGCTGTATGGGCGTTTAGCAATCGCGAAATCCGGAACATGGCTCTGTGCAAGGGTAACGATGCTGATGTTGTTGCTGGCCGCTAGCCACAGCTTGCAGAAGATGCTCTTCGGAGCATCGCCTCACCTCCGACAGGTATATACTGTCCGTCCAACCAACTTGTCCCAGATGCATTTGCAGCTGCGAACTATCTTAGGGAGACTTGCTACAGTTTTGGGTTTGTGGTTTGTGGTTGTACTCAGAGGAGGGACACTGCTACTCGGACTTGTTACACTGCATGGTAGGAATTAGGCATCCAACACCTTAACTTCTGCACTCAAAGACATAAATACCCCAGCCTCCCGCAAAGGTTCGATGCTTGTCCGGCATCTCCCCTGCACATTCAAGACCCACCCTGCTCAACAGGACAATGCAAAGATACTGAAGTTGGTTTCCTCTGTTGAAGTTGGATTGCTTGCACAGCTCTGCACCGAAAATGAAGGTACAAAAGCGCTTGAAGGAAGACCTGGCCATCCAGCACCGGGACTCCCTCTATGAGGCCTGGTTGGGGTTGCGGGCGAGGGGGGGTGGACTTGTGGGTTCCAGGGGATGGCAATACACGTCCTTGGGTTTTGCTTGTGGCTTGGGACGGGGTAGGAGAAGCGGGGCTATTGCAAGTCAACTACCCCTGAACATATGGATCTCAATGTAGAGGCAAGTGTGTTGTTGGCCCATCGCGGAGATTCCAGATTTCAGCCCAAGGCCAAGGGGCACGTTCCAGCTTGTGTCAGTGTTAGGATCCACATCATAAACAGATAGCGCTCACAGGATCATGTGAGCATAAACACACGTCGCTGCGAAAAGTGAAGGCTCTGCAAGTTTTCGCTAGTATATGCTGGTGTAGGGGGGCATCTCGCGCGCCAAGTGCCTAGATTGTCAATAAGCAGGTGCCATAACAGTAGCTTTTCGTGACGACGTGCTTATGCGAGTTGAATCGCAAAAAATGTGCACTCCCTAAACCTGCAACCTTCGACTTTGAGATCCTCGCCTGCCATTCGTCGCTCTGGGCTCGTAAACCGATTTGACAGCATTCCGTTGGTGGAGCCTGACTGCTGTCATGTGGTCCCGACTGCAGGGCCGGGAGCCTTACGTCTGGTGTGCCTAGCGGTTGCAAGTCCAACGAGTGCTACTTGTAGTATGGTTTCTTTATCATTGCTGCAAGCCTCAGGACATCGATTGATACTGCAGAGACCCCATTCAACCTTGGGAGACACCTTTGTTCCCTTTGTTGATCAACTCATGCAGCCGACCTTCAAGTCGGTTCCAAGTGGGTCAGTGCTTTTGTCTTCGGCGAGCCGCTCTGGTGCGCACGAGAGCCAACCCAAAACCGAAGTACCTTGCGAAGGCAACGAACACCGGCAAGCAAGTACGTGAGGAAACAGGAGTTCCGGAGTTGGCCCGCGATCTGTTTAAGATCAGGTGCGGCAGTTTTTTCGCTCAGGGGGAAATGGGGGGAAGTTCACAGGCTGCTTGGATCAAACAGGCAAGACGAAAGATGCTTGAAGCATTGGCATGAGAGATGCGTGGACCGACACTGAGAGACCCACTCCCCCGCCTGGACTCGCCACTACTTCCAGTTCCGATGTCGACGCTGCATGATGCAAGACCGGAAATCGAAACTCCTCCTCTCCTTCTGAGGCGCCTTGCGCCCTCCGGCCCTGGTAGCTGCCGCCGCGGCACTACCGGGCCTTTTGCCCGACCGCAGCAGCTCAGGCTCGGGATGCGTGCGCCGTGGGAAGGTCTTCCGCAGGACACTTTGTCCATAGAGTTTAAGAGCTGGGTTGAAAGAGTGTTGAAGGGCTTGGAGTTTGGGACTTCACAGGGGTCGTACTGGGTCGATGATCATGTGAACACTGGTGGATGCCTCCCATTGATCTGGACATTGATCCCAGACCCATCTGGCGTCGCGATCAAATTGGCCTCTTTTTGGCGTCAAAATGGCCTTTTTTGATGTCTCGGCTCACACATTGCATAGTGTCACTGTGAGGTGGCTACGAAAAAGGACATAATTTCAGGCTATCCCTAAACCCTAGACCCTAAACCCTAAACCCTGCCCAAACCCTAAACCATAAAGCCTAAACGGCCGGGTCTCGGCCGAGTCTCGGCTAACCCTACATCCTCAATCCTAATCCCCAAACCCCAAACCCTCAACCCTAAACCGTAGACCGTTAACCCTAAAGCCTAAACTCTAGACCCTAAACCCTAAACTCCCTAAACCCTAGACCCTGAGCCCTAAATCCTAAACCCTGCCTAAACCGTGAAGCCTAGGCGTACCACCTGTATCCGTTTTACAGTGATCGTGACCTGGCCGAGACTAGGCAATGTGTGAGCCGAGACATCGAAAAAGGACATTTTGATGCAAAAAAAGGGCAAATTGATCCCAGACCCATCTGGACATGTAGAAACGATTGCCTGTTCGTTCTCCCCCCTACGCCAGCGGAAGATGCTCTGAAACCGTGCTCTGACATGTCTGGATTCATTTTAGTACCTTTTAGGATGGGTTCTAGGACTGCATCTACAAGGTTTCTTTTTAGAAGCTGCGAATCACGAAGCTCCTAGTTGCAAACTAAATTGAGAATTGTAAAGCCAGTGATAGCAGACGAAAGTGGATCCACAATGAGCGGCTGCCATGACACTCCATCGACAGTCATCCAGTTTATGTTACCGAGGGGATTTATCCGTTTTATCGGCGCTTTCAACTTCTCTGCCGACAAGTATTCTGAATCCCCAAAATCTTCCAACCCGAACCCCCCCCTTCAACTAGGCTCTAAGTTCTATTTCGACCACGAGCGCATGCAGAGCGGACACCCTCTGTCTTAAACAGGCAGCTGGCATGCACTACCAAAGCGGCAGCTCGTCTCCTGCCAGACAACCAAGGCCCCTGGATATTATATTTGCAGTTAAGATATGTGTATTTCATGAAATGATGCTCGCAGGTTTGCCTTTTTTTTGAGCTGCCGATGTTGGCTGCTCCTCTTCCTTCAAGCCCTAAGACTTGCAAGAGCTGTCTTAGTCTCTCCGTGTGAGGCCTCAGGCTACTGTGAATACCGGCTTGTCAACTTGTTGGATTAGCGGGAGATCATGTTCCGCGAGCCCAGGCTCCCAAACTCCAGCGAATGCTTAATTACTCAGCCCACGCTCTAAGCTCTAAAAAAGACTGCAGGAAGTGGACGTTTCTTTGCGGCACAACCAGGGAGATAAAATCCTCACAAACTAGATGGTTCAGTAAGGGCAGAACGGGAGAGAATGTATGTATTCTCCTATATGCGCATATGCCTCTCATATTGCTGCTGCTGCTGCTGCTGCTGCTATTACCACTACTACTACTACTACTACTACTACTACTACTGCTACTGCTACTGCTACTGCTACTGCTACTGCTACTACTACTACTACTACTACTACTACTACGCCTACTGCTATTCCTACAGCTACTGCTACTGCTACTGCTACTGCTACCACCACCACCACCACCAGCACCACCATCACCACTAGCACCACCACTGCCACTGCCACTAACGGCCACAATGACTGTTGTGATTAGAGTAAGCAGCTGTAAGTGTTAGTGATCGTGACTTAGTACCGTGATATTACTTTGGACACAAACCTATTATGTACAAGCACACACATTTCTTCACACTTGTGGGCATGTAAGTTTTGGATTTCCACAACCACGCCGACACGCCAACCCCCAGATAGGTAGATAGA